TCCTGCTTTACTGACTTCTTTAAGGACTTCAGCCACACACAGAATTTATCTAGGGATCAAGTTATAGCAAAATAGAGTAAAATGTCTGCTCATTTCCTTTCTATACTATCTACTGGTGCCAAATCTTATAGGTAAAGAAAGGTGCTTAGCTCAAGCAACGGAAAGAGAAAAAGATCCGATTCCTGCACTTGTTCTTCATTCTAAGTCTAGGCCCAGTGTTGCCCACATGTAAGCTATGAACACAGTGACTGAAATGCTAACTTACTTCACAGAATTACAAAGAGCAATGATAAAGCAGTTTAAAAATGACACACTGGTAGCAGAAGAACACTAACCTAATTGAGGAGCAAAATTCCTACTTAGTTCATATCCCTCTATGATCTACTTGTGGAGAATTAGTATTTTCTCTTAATTATCCCCATGTCTTTTTATGATCCATCTCAAGAGTTTACAAAGCTTAAATTTACTATGGTTTTTTACTATTTCACATTACATATTGAAACCAAATATATGTATGTACATGCAAATATATGGCCAATTGTTTTCTAATGTATTATTTCAGAGCTGTTTATTACAAGTATTAGACCACCCCCCAAGCCCAGTGGAGTTTATGGCCTGAATTTTAAAAAGTCAGCCATAAAAAAACAGCACTGTCATATCTGCCTCTCCTCTAGTCTGAACATACACTGGAATCCAGGGTTACAATCACACAATCCCCGCACACCCCAAGACAGCACTTTAGGGTAAAATAAATAAACATTAAAAGTTCTTTAGCCTTGGCTAGCTATTTGTTAGACACTGAAACATCCAGAGTCTCAAACTCCCCATATGTAAAATGGAATAAACACCTATTAGATAATGAATTTAAATGGTAATTTTGAAGTTTGTGTACAATTAGAGGTTAAGTATGCTATCTTAGCATCCAGAAATATGAATGAAAACAAATAATGCAGCAAATGCCAGCACACATTTCTAAACACCTATACCAAAGATTAACCATTAATAATAACTAGCATTTACCAAAAGGCATACTAGACATGAGATACAGAAAACATGATACAAGATACAGAAACAAGAGATCCTACATGGAAAGAGGAAAAGGAATTCTCAGGATCATGGTGAAAGGAGAGCCCAGAATATAGCAAAATATCGGCTAGAAGAAGTAGGCTATCAGTCCACACAGGGCCAGGTCAGAAAGCTCCAGGAAGACATGCTCAGGAAAACAGAACAGCATATCTAATGAAACTGAACACTGAGCAATTTAGAAATATGGCCAAAAGTTCGGCTGATTTGGTAATAAGTTCATAGAAAACTAAGCCTAGGAAAAACAAAAAGATGTGGAAGAAAAAAAAAAAAACAGCACTTATAGTCCTAGTGAAATTGATCTGATCAAAAATCACCCTAGGTACATCATTAGTAATTAGAAGAAATGATATGTGTGAGGGATGAAGGTAAGGAAAGAGAGTAAATCCTTACATACATGGAGAGGTCAGTAGGAAGTGTCTAAAACAGAAAAAATCACAAGTAACAACACAATTGTGTTATTTAGAGACATGAAGGTAAATGGGTGTATAATTAGCTAAAAAGAGGTGCACGCAGCTGCCTGAGAAGGTTAAGGACTGTCCCCTTCCCCCAATAAACTTGAACTATCTGACTTAACAAGATAGCATTTTTCCCCTTTGGTGGTATTACATACTCTCAGCATCAAGCAGTAATGTTGCCTTTCACAAAGACTGCTTAATAAAACAATGTCACTTTAATAGGATTAGCAAATTCTCCAGTCCAAAACAAGATAAAATCTTCTGTTGTCATTTCCTGTTCTCACCAAATCCATAGTGAACTTGGCCTGGGGCTGAAACCCTCAGGCAGGACACTGAGGAAGTGGATGAGTGGAACAGAAAGTGGATAATTAGGAAATTAGTGCCATGGAGGCCTGCAAGGTGGTTACATGAGGTGCATGAGCATGTTGGATGGTCCTGACAGGGTAAGACAGATCAATGTCAACCTTAACAAGAGCAGCTTCAGAAGACTGGTGGGGATGCAAGCCTAAGTGAAGTAGGTTCAGGAGATCATGGGAGAAAGGAAATTAAAAAGTAGGTATTAAAAACCTTACTGGGGCATTTAACTGTGAAGGAGAGCAGAGAAATGGATGATAGATAAAAAGGGTCGATGATTCAATAAGGACTATGGCTGCTGTTGTGGTGAAGCAAACTGACCCTCGACTTTAGAGCCCAGCTACTTTCCCCCATCTAGGAGTGCTGGCTGCTGACGGCTACAGCTCTGTCCCCTTAGGATGCCCTCAGCTGAAGGAAGTTGCCTCCAGTTACGTTATACACCGCCCCAGCAGCCCACATCCTTCCAGTCACTGCAAGGGTTCAAAGGCTCTGCCCTCCCTTGATTCAGGATTTCTTTGAAGGGCCATCCCATCAAAGGCCATCAAAGATACATGGGATTGACTAAAATTGCTGTTGTGACTAGGGTGGCCAATCATGCTAGTTTGCCCAGGACTTAGAGGCTTCTGAGGACTCAGGTTTCTGTGCTAGAAGTGGACAGTCCCGGACAGTTGGTCACCCTGGTTTAGTCTAAGCTCAGTCATAGCTCTGCTGCCTCGCCCTTCTTTGTGTGGTCCTCTCTTCTTCCTCAGGTGTAGGGGTCTGTTCTGCAGTCGTCAGGCCATTTTCAGGTCTAGTTCCATTTGCACTATTTTCCTCTTTTATACGTTTTTGGGAGGAGGTTTCCATTTTGCCTTCCTATTCCATCATCTTTAATCTGATCTCAAATGTCATTTCTTCAGGGAAGCACACACAATCTGAACCTCCAGCAGTTAGGTCCTTCAGATATTCACTTCCTCTGATGGATTATAGTCCTCAAAAGGGCAGTCCCTTGTCTGTCCATATGCTCAGCTCCTAGCACAGTGCATCGCATACAGTTGGAACTCTTTGGATGAATGAATTTGTAATCTCTAGGGCATTAAAAAGCCAGATTGTATGTTAAATCATTTTCCCTACATGATTTGCAATAGAACAAACATCTCTGACCTTTAAAGTAATCGGACAGTTCAGTGATTTGGTGGCCATTTCAGTTTGCCAAATCCAACCTGCCGCCTATTTCTGTACATGAAGTTTTATTGGAACACAGCCACAAGCATTCATTTACATATCATCTATGGCTGCTTTTGCACTGCAACCAAAGAGCTGACAGAGTCCACAGAGCCCACAAAGTCTAAGATATTTTACCATCTGACCATAATAGAAAAGTTTGCTAACTCCTGCTTTACTGACTTCTTTAAGGACTTCAGCCACACACAGAATTTATCTAGGGATCAAGTTATAGCAAAATAGAGTAAAATGTCTGCTCATTTCCTTTCTATACTATCTACTGGTGCCAAATCTTATAGGTAAAGAAAGGTGCTTAGCTCAAGCAACGGAAAGAGAAAAAGATCCGATTCCTGCACTTGTTCTTCATTCTAAGTCTAGGCCCAGTGTTGCCCACATGTAAGCTATGAACACAGTGACTGAAATGCTAACTTACTTCACAGAATTACAAAGAGCAATGATAAAGCAGTTTAAAAATGACACACTGGTAGCAGAAGAACACTAACCTAATTGAGGAGCAAAATTCCTACTTAGTTCATATCCCTCTATGATCTACTTGTGGAGAATTAGTATTTTCTCTTAATTATCCCCATGTCTTTTTATGATCCATCTCAAGAGTTTACAAAGCTTAAATTTACTATGGTTTTTTACTATTTCACATTACATATTGAAACCAAATATATGTATGTACATGCAAATATATGGCCAATTGTTTTCTAATGTATTATTTCAGAGCTGTTTATTACAAGTATTAGACCACCCCCCAAGCCCAGTGGAGTTTATGGCCTGAATTTTAAAAAGTCAGCCATAAAAAAACAGCACTGTCATATCTGCCTCTCCTCTAGTCTGAACATACACTGGAATCCAGGGTTACAATCACACAATCCCCGCACACCCCAAGACAGCACTTTAGGGTAAAATAAATAAACATTAAAAGTTCTTTAGCCTTGGCTAGCTATTTGTTAGACACTGAAACATCCAGAGTCTCAAACTCCCCATATGTAAAATGGAATAAACACCTATTAGATAATGAATTTAAATGGTAATTTTGAAGTTTGTGTACAATTAGAGGTTAAGTATGCTATCTTAGCATCCAGAAATATGAATGAAAACAAATAATGCAGCAAATGCCAGCACACATTTCTAAACACCTATACCAAAGATTAACCATTAATAATAACTAGCATTTACCAAAAGGCATACTAGACATGAGATACAGAAAACATGATACAAGATACAGAAACAAGAGATCCTACATGGAAAGAGGAAAAGGAATTCTCAGGATCATGGTGAAAGGAGAGCCCAGAATATAGCAAAATATCGGCTAGAAGAAGTAGGCTATCAGTCCACACAGGGCCAGGTCAGAAAGCTCCAGGAAGACATGCTCAGGAAAACAGAACAGCATATCTAATGAAACTGAACACTGAGCAATTTAGAAATATGGCCAAAAGTTCGGCTGATTTGGTAATAAGTTCATAGAAAACTAAGCCTAGGAAAAACAAAAAGATGTGGAAGAAAAAAAAAAAAACAGCACTTATAGTCCTAGTGAAATTGATCTGATCAAAAATCACCCTAGGTACATCATTAGTAATTAGAAGAAATGATATGTGTGAGGGATGAAGGTAAGGAAAGAGAGTAAATCCTTACATACATGGAGAGGTCAGTAGGAAGTGTCTAAAACAGAAAAAATCACAAGTAACAACACAATTGTGTTATTTAGAGACATGAAGGTAAATGGGTGTATAATTAGCTAAAAAGAGGTGCACGCAGCTGCCTGAGAAGGTTAAGGACTGTCCCCTTCCCCCAATAAACTTGAACTATCTGACTTAACAAGATAGCATTTTTCCCCTTTGGTGGTATTACATACTCTCAGCATCAAGCAGTAATGTTGCCTTTCACAAAGACTGCTTAATAAAACAATGTCACTTTAATAGGATTAGCAAATTCTCCAGTCCAAAACAAGAAGAACTCAATTTATCACAGTTTGTAATAATCACATGATTGTAGTCTCACCAGGGATTGCTGGTTCACAGCAAAAAGGGGGTCAAGAAAAATAAAAACCCAATTTTTTCTTAGGTGGTACATTTATTAAAAACATAGACTAATGGTCCTGTGCTTAAGTGTTGTTGTGGCTGTGTTCTGGCTTCCATAAATCATAACTAATTACCCAGAAGTTAAAAGATAAACAGAAATTACTGACTAAATAGTGCTATTGCAGACATAATTCCCTTACAATTAATACTTGCTAGAAAATGGAATTTGACATTATTTACAATTACACTAACATTCACAGAGCTGAGCAGCACAGGCATTAGGGTGTACTGTGACCATAAATGTCTTTTCGTATTTCCCAAATAGTTTTGTATTTTAGCTATGAAGGTCAGTTTCCAGAGCCAGACTTGTTCTTAAAAGGTAGAATTTTTATGTCCATTCAGTGAAAGAGTCTCTTACATCTTTCTGGGTCTATCCATTTGCAGATGGGTGTAGAAACTGTAACCAGGTTTTTCATATCCTGCATTCACATGTGATGCCCAATCTTCATATGCTGTCCAATTTCTTTAAGATAAAAGGAGCTGAAAGAAAAATAAACCCAGAATTTGTTTTCAGCTCTATTAGTTACATAATGGAATTATAAAACTGGGGGATAAATTTTTAGAAATAACTCCTAAGTGATGACCAATAAATCAGCAAGGGGGACTCACTGGCTTTCAGGGCAGCCCATTCCAGTATCCTGCAGCTATGACTTTATAAAGTTCATTCTTACACTACATAAAATCTTTTCTCCAGGTAGTTCTCTCTCTCTTGGGACAATAAGAGTAAATTCAATTCTTCAAATGATTATTTTTAAACGTTGGTGATTTAACTGTCAAAGGAACAAAACTCTAGAAGGTACAGATTGGCATTTTTCACCTTAAAAAAATGCATTTGAAAGGAGGCAGAAGGTGGGGGAAAACAACACTGAACTAGGAACTAGAAGATTGGACACATATTTTGGTTCTCCCACTAATTAGCTGTATATCACTTATGCGTTCCAGATTGCATCTGGTACATCTGATATTATGATGGTCTGGTCAGATGGTACAGATAGAAATGTTTAGAAAACAAGGAAGTGTTGTCATTGGGATTTAAAGAAGTGATGATATTGTTCTGTGGCCAAAATGAGCTCATGGAAAGTTGCTCAACATCACTAATCATTAGGGCAATTCAAATTAAAACTAAAATGACATACCACTTCATACCCATTCAGATGACTACTATCAACAAAAAATTATTGGCAAGGATGTGGAGAAACTGGAACCCTTGTGCACTGTCAGTGGAAATGTAAAATGATACAGCCATTATAGAACACAGTATGGTGGTTCAAAAAATTAAAAAAAGGTATCTGTACATCCATATTCACAGCAGCATTATTCACAGTAGCTAAAACATGAAAGCAGTCCAAGTGTCCAGAGATGGGTAAATGGATAAGCACAATGTGGTATTCAGCCTTAAAAAGGTCAGAAATTCTGACATGCTACAACATGGATGAACCTTAGGACATTATGCTAAATTAAATAAGATAGTTACAAAAGGACACCTACTGTATGATTCTGCTTTAATGAAATACTTAGAGTGGTCAAAATCACAGAGATAGAAAGTAGAATGGTGCTGGAAGGAGGGGGATTGGGGAATTATTGTATAATAGGTATAGTTTCAATTTTACAAGATCAGAAGAATTCTGGAGATGAATGATGGCGATGGTTGCAAAACATCATGAATATATTTAATACTACTAATACAACTTAAAAACTGTTAAGATGGAAAGTTTTACGTTATGTGTATTTTACAATTTTTAAAAAGTGGTGAAAAAAGGGGCTGTGACCAAAAAAGCTGCCAGAATGATCTTTATCAATACCCATACTAAATTAATAAAACATTTTGTTAATATTAAATTGAAGATATTGAGATCTGTCAGAAGCTGACAGAGTTGGCTGTTATGTCCAGTCTTTTCTAATTCTTATCAGAAAAAAAGGTAATGTCAAATGAACACATAAACAAAATGTGGTGTATCCATTCGATGGAATGTTATTTAGCAATAAAAAGGAAATACTGATAAATGCTACAAAAAAATAGATGAACATTGGAAACACTATGCAAAATGAAACAAGCTAGACACAAAAGATTAAATATTGTACAATTCCATATATATTAAATGTGTAGAATGGGCAAATCCATAAAGACAAAAAGGTAAATTAGTGGCTGACAAGGGCTGGGGAAAGGTGAAAATGGGGAATGACAACTAATGGGCATGCTGTTTCTTTTAGAGAGAAGGAAAACGTCCTAAAATAGATTGTGATGATGGCTGCACAAGTCTGATTATACTAAGAACCACTGAACTGCACACTTTAAATGGGTGAATGGTATAATACATGAATTCTGTCTCCATTTAAAAAGTGACAATGCAGAACAGTATTCTGTATTTTTTTCTAAATCAATTCATATCAGATATAAAGATCATTGAGAATGAGCACGTATCTTACCAGCAGCTAAGTCAAGAAAAACATAAGAGAAGGAAATAAAGCTGGGAGTTGCAAAAAGCCTGTGAAGCAGCAGGATGAGCTGGGAGTTGCTGTCACCAGGGCTCCCTCTCCTGGAAGCAGAGTAATACCAGACAATGGATGGCACCGACTGGCCTCAGTGGACTCTGGCCTAGGTTCAACAAGAGCCTTCTGCAGAATGACCGTGGTATGGCCTTCATTGATTTGAATCATCCCTTCCTCTCCACCCAGACCTGCCAACAATATATAGCAAGGGGCAATAAAAAGAATACTGAACTGAGAATGAGGAGAGCAAGACAAATCACTTCTGAGATTCATGTCAGTAAAACTAGAAACGATCTACAAAGCTGCATCCAGCTCTAATACTCAGTGTGCCTGTAACTCTTATCTTAGGCCCTGTCTCCCGCAAAGGGTACTGTCAAGACCTGGCACTGTTTCTGCCAAATATAAAATCAAATAATCCCTGACGTAATATCGTTCATCCTACAGACCCGTATCTTTTTATCATTCCTTAAAAAAAAAAAGCAACTATAAATGTTCAAAGAAGCACAACCTCTTGGGTTACAAAAGTCAGCACTGGAGGAAGGAAACCTGGTACTGAATTAAGAATTTCGGATTCTAGGTCAAGATCATTCACTGACCCGATGAGTGACCTTGAACCGGCCACTTCTCTAATTCTCGATCTCTGCTTCTCTGCCTACAAAACGAGTTGCTCTGGGGGATAAACCTTTCAATTCGAACGCTAGGGCTGGGCGATTCTCCCTGCAGTCCGGACCACCACGTGGACTCGGGCACCCTGACCCTGACCCGCACACCCTAAGCCGCGCAAGCCCCTTGCTCCTCATGCCCGCTCAGCTCAAAGGCCACCAAAGGCCGCAGGGGCAGAGCTGGGGGGCAGTGGGGGCAGGCTCCCTGCAGATCTCACGGCCACAGCCCAAAGTGACACTCACTGACTCGCAGCAGGGCGACGTAAATGAGAAAGTTCCGTATGGAGGAGATCACATCCTCGCGCATCTTCCGTTTCATTTCCTCAGGGTCCAGCTTCGGCGCGAGGCCCTCGATGCGGAACATCCCGGCCCTGCCACACCGACTACGAGCGGCGCGCTCTGCTCGGTCCTGGGGCCGCCTCGCGCCCGGAACTCGGCCCAACCCTATTTCCTATTTCCGCCCCTCATCTTCGCACGCGCCGACAGAAGCCTGCAAGGGACAAAGTCCTTCCTGACCGAGCTGTTCTGGCGAAGGATGCCTGAAGAGGGCGGCCGCAGTCTTAGCAACGCAGGACACGGTCGGCTCTCTCCAGGATGCTGCTTTAAGATCCTGTGTCTGAAGTTGGGCACGCTGTACAGCAAAGTGGTTTTACAACCCCTGAGGGGGCGGTGCACAGAGGTACCACCATAAGTGATAATAATAGCTAACATTTATCGAGTACTCAGTGCAGTTCTGCGCCATGAGTTAGATACTATAATCTTCATTTCCTAGATGAGAACATTGAAGCACAGAGAGCTTTAAAACGCTCAAATGTGCTTTAAAATATCTCCAGGGGGAAAAAAATGTGTTGAGGAAGAGAGATGAAACGATATTGGCAAAATACTGAAAATCGATTAAGATGGTGACTAATGCACCATTTTAATTATTCTAGTCTTTGTGTGTGTGAACTTTTTCGTGATAAGATGCTGAAACTTGCTCAAGTTTGCATAACTAGTAAATGCAGAATAGTGTTATACTTAGGCCTGTGGGACCCAGAGACAAGAGCTTTAAACATTTTCCATGTAATTGCTGTATTCTCATTCTGTAGTTAACTGATCCATACAAATTATACCATTGGCCCAATAATATATATAAAACAAGTTCAGATCTGTTCAGTATTTTACAGATGAGGAGAGGGAGGCTTAGAAACCAAGCGGACTGCTTAAAGTTATTCTGCTAGTGATGGGCAGAGGCAGGGTTCCAGCGCAGATATTTACAATGTCAAGTCAAATTCTTTTTCCCCTGCACCCTACTGCTCCTCCGTTAACAGTTAGTGCCCACATGTATGGGCATCACTGGAGTTAGAACATAGGAGTTTAATGCAGCGACATTTCCTGTCACAGAGTCATCAAAACAGTGTTGCCCCAAATTATGCATGCCAACTAACCATGTATAATTCTTAGACATGAACCAGATGACTGAACTACTCACATAATTCAAAACCAGAGTGTTTCTTCTTGACTGAACATGGCATATCCACAATCAACTTTGGATAAATTAAACAGTAATTTACTATGAAAGCAACTGATGACTACAAACATTAGTGCCCACCTTCCTGATTGACAGAATGTAAGACATTCAGGCTTTAGTAACCTCTTGCATCTGTAATTCATGCGGTGGAATAGCAGAAGCTGCTCTGGAATGGGAGGGGCTGACTTCCAAGGAATATCCTCCATCCAACCCTTTGAGAGTATTTAGAAAGGCTACATTGATTCTGAAATGCAGCAGGGGCCATGGAAAACACCTGGACAGGAAGACTGGAGACAGGCCTCTAGATCTGGCACTGCCACTATCAAGCCAGTTTCACCGCAACCTATTTCTTTAGTTGTAAAGGGAGAAGGTATGATTAATGCTCGTGAGAGTCCCTCTCAGTTCTAACAGTCTATGCATTTTGAATTCTACTTGTGTCATTCAGGACATTCTGGTCTGGCATGTATGGATATCAAAATATCAAATGTGGTCAGACATCAGAACATCCAGTGTGCGTTTTCTCCATGGTAAGAAGAAAGTACCATTGAGGCATGTCTCATCCATCTAACTAGTGAGGCAAAATGAATTGTCAAGGAATGAGTGATTATGTGATTCCAGTAACATATCCCTAATGCTGACTGAGCTTAGATAAACAGTTCTCATACAGAACTACCAATTTTTTTTCTTTACTGAGATACTTTTGAATAACTGGTCTGGATTCATAGGGAACCAAAGAGGAGAAAAATTAGCAAAAAATCATGTTTCTCAGAGACTGCCCCCCCCCCCCCACAGATTTGTAGCATTTGAATTTTACGGATCCAGTGCTGTATAAAGCACCACATGTTTACTTGATGGGTGATGCGGTGGCAAATGACTGGCCTGTTAAAAGGCAACATTATTCTCATAACAATTCTCCTTAAAAGGTCTGGGGCTTGCCTGCTTTCCTGTACAGAGAGGAATGTAGTAGATGGAAATATGCAGCGGCTGTGTCTTAAGGTGAGGAACTGGTTCTGGATACAGTCTAGGAGGGTGAACTGTTCCATCTTAGAAATGTTCATCCTGCTGAACTTTGTCTTTCTTTTGCATGGCTTCTCCAGTTGTAATGGAGGTTAGGCACCTGAGAAGAGGTTGTCTCTTTTTCTGGCATGTAGTTGGTGGTATTGTGCAATTATGGTTGGTTTAGATGAGGCAAATTGAGCGAATATAAAGTATTTCAGGAAGTTAACACTAGAGTGAGCCGTATCACATCTTGAGTCCCTTGTTTTTTGATGATAATGGGATTGAGTCTAACCTTTAAAATCACTGCAGCTCTAAAATGCTGAATTAAGTGTTCCTCTTTCCTGTTTTCCTTCATAACTTTGCACTAGAGGCTAAAAGTAAAGGATTCTCTGTGATCTCCATGAAAGGGAAAAATAAAAAGCATGCATGTAAAATTGAAGATTGATATTTGTGTTATTTAGCCTAATCACCGACAAAATGATAGCTGATACCATAGCCTGTCCTGTTTTCCATTTCAGTCCCAGAAGGGATTCAGGAGCCATTTCTTTTGCCTCAGTTTCTCAGTTCTACATACAAAACTTCAGTGAGTATAATGTATCCATAAGAGAACTAAATGTTTTACTGGGGAGGATTTTGTGTTGGCAAGGTCAGCAATGACTCATAATTTGAGAATAATTTTGACATATAATCACAGGAACCTTCTGGTTTCTAATATAGGAACCTATAATCTTTGGGTATTGAACAGTTCAACTCTTTCCATTTGACAGATAAGGAAATTGAGGTCCAGTGGGAAACTAGTTAGATATAGAACTAGCTGGGACTAAGGTAGGTTTCTGGGCTCCCAGTTCATTTTTTCCCATCATATTTTACAGCTTTCAATACTTTGTGAATATTTTCATTGATAATCCTCCCCTAAGAGGTAAAGACTGGAAGAATGGGGTGCTGTTCAATCCAAGTTTGGGGAGGGTCAGAATAAGGGGTAGCTGCTATTCATCAGCAGTCTGATGCCAGTCCTTCTGTCTATGTTTCCACATTTATCACCAGTAGTTAATCTGGAGTGTGTTATTATCCAGCTCCACACCTCTCCTTCCTCATTTCTGCAGGAGATGAACATGAGCTGGAGTTCCCAAAATAGACCTGCCTTTGAAGTCCTCTCAGGACCCAAGATGAAGGAAACAAAGATCAGGACAAGGAAAGGACACCTGGACCCACAATAAGGATTGGTCTGTGAGAGATGTTCACCAGAAGTCCTCATCCAGCAGATGGGATAGCCTGCTTCTAGAAATTATTGCCCAACAAGAGGTGTCTTCAGGAAGAGAGGCCTTTTGAACCTTAAAGGATGAGTAGAATTTGGATAACCTTCATTTCAATGGCATTGGCTTTCTGTAATACCTTGTTTTCTGTTCTAATTTTTAGAGCTTTGTTGTCTGGATGATTCATGAATGTTTGATCTCTTTCCATAGACTACAAGCACTTCAACTACAGGAAACATACACTTAATCCTCCAGAGAACTGATATAAGGTCAAAACTCAGAAGGTACCCCCTGAGTGGATAATGAATGAGTGAATGAACTTCATATCTGCTAACCTTTAGAATTTTAAAAAACTGGTAACTTTGTATATTAGCTTGGAAGGAAATCATCCCCTGAAGAAATTTACCCAAAATTCTACATATTAATTTTTATGTAGTTACTTATTTCTCACCGTTTTCATACAACTTGGTTTTTGTTTGCCTAAATAAAATCATTCAAATAATTTCAATGTATCATAGACAAAGTTAAAGAAGGAACTTTAAAAGTTACTTGCTTTATTTATAGCAGCATAATTATAGAAAGCTCATATTATATTTTTAATAACTTCTTTTTCCATGAAAGTACCTACTTATTTTTTTTTGGTATCATTAATGTACAGTTACTTGAACAACATCCACCATCATCAAGTCCCCACCACATACCCCATTACAGTCACGGTCCATCAGTGTAGTAAGATGCTATTGAATCATTACTTGTCTTCTCTGTGTTATATGCTTTTCCTGTGTCTGCCCCCACTACATTATGTGTGCTAATTGTAATGCCCCTTTTTCCACCTTATCCCTCCCTTCCCACCCATCCTCCCCAGTCTCTTCCCCTTTGGTAACTGTTAGTCCATTCTTGGATTCTGTGAGTCTGCTGCTGTTTTGTTCCTTCAGGTTTTGCTTTGTTCTTACACTCCACAGATGAGTGAAATCATTTGGTGAAAGTACCTACTTATTTTTATAAATTTAGAAACTAAAGAATTAAGGGGTGGGGGAGGCAAATAATAGCCTCCCATAATCTCACAACCACTGTTGACATATCGGTGATAATCCTTTCAGTCTCTCCTGCTATCATCTACATAGGTCACTCTCTCTGTTTCTCTTTACATATATAGGTACACACACACACACACACACACACACACACACACACACACACACACACATAATACCCCCATGTGTATATGCATTTTTTATAAAAATGGGTCATATTGTATATGCTATTTGAACTCCCATTTTTCATATAAGTTATATTGACTTTCTTCCTATATCTTTAAATATTCTTCTAAATGTCATTAATGATGTGTATGTACCATAATCTATTTAACTAAGTCTCTATCTCTGGTCATTTAATTTGTTTCCATGTTTTCCCTATAAACAGTACTCTAGGGAACAGCCTTATAACACTATTTTTGTGTACTTGTAAAAAGTTTTCCAGTCATTACAATTATTACCTTAAATTCAGGGATCTCAGTTTTTCCCATTGACTCTTTTTATTCTGAGGAAAAAGCACTCTTTGGCCAAGAGTGTGGGGGTCAGATCTCCAGAACTTTGGCAACTATAAACGAGGGATGGGATATTTTGTTCGTGTTTAGAAGAGGTTTGCTTCCTTGTGCTGTAATTTCTAATTATTTTGCAGCAGTAAAGTGAAACATATTCAAAGGCTTAGTTTGCATTGACATTATTTAGACCACGTAGTAATTCCCAGCCATCTCCCTGCAGAGGCTGGAGAGTTGATTTTGCCACCATTCCCACCCCACCCCCATTACACAAACATGCATATATTAGTGAAATGTGCTTATGCAGCTGGGTATAATTTCTTACCTTTAAATAAAAATGCACAGTCCATAATATAATGGGTGCTCAATTAATATTTATCAAGTGAAAGAAAGAGAAAAAAAGGAGTTTTTTTAATTGAGTCAGTGATCGTAGGTCCACCTCCTATACTGTTAGACATGCTCTTACCCCATGTCAGGAGACCTTTGAGAAAACAGGAAGTGAGTTCCTTATTCCAACCTCCACAGGAAACAAAGGTGAGGCGATCACGGGGCAGCCACTATCCATTCTCCACACCCTGTCCCTGACATTTTCAAGTTCACAGTCCTGCCCAATCAAAGCACGGAGCTTTCTACAGGTAGGAATACATTTTTCTTATTACATATTGAAGTTGAATTGCTATACATTGAACAAACTGTGAATAAAAGAACATGCCAATCTTCCCATTATGTAATATTTAGAATTTGTTTGCAGAGAAAAAGTCCAGGCCTTAAAATGTGACACCTTATCCTAACCATTTTCTCCAGAGTGTCTCTCAAAATCTCAGGTCTGGAATGCTTGGCCCCCACCTCCAACTTCCCTGCTTCTGTTTAGGTATTTCTAGTGAAGGCGGGGAGCTCACCACTTTACTGGGCACTTTCACCCACCTTTGGATAGGCAGTTTTCCTTTCAGAGACAAAACTGCTTCTTTGTACCATATTCCCACTGGTTCTAGTTACGTCCTTTGTGGTGTCAGAAGCAGCTGGGATCATTCTTCCTCATGGATATGTAAAGACAGCTTGGGTCTTCCTTGATGCTTGTTTGCTTCAGGCTAAAATTAATTCTTGCAAAATTCTCTTAGACTTTTCCAGTTTTACCTTACCTACAACTTTAAAATTTCTAGTTAGCAGCGATGGACTGATTTACTCTGAATTATCTGGCTCTGCCCCTCTCCCCCAACCCAAGCACACCAAAGGGAACATAGTGGGTTCCTGGCAAGGACCTCTGGGATTCAATGCCAGAGACTCTCTAATTGTTACTCAGGGATTGTCCCTGAACAAGAAGTGCATGCCTGTGCTATCTATCTCCCTGACCACCCATTTCAGCCTTGGCTTTTGCACTGTGAAAAGAAGGCCAGCTGTAGAGGTAGTGTGGTTGCAGTGAATAAAGCACGGGCTTTGGAGTGAGGGTTAGGTTTAAATTGCAGCTCTTCTTGTTTTGAGACCTTGTGCTAGATGTTTACCTTTCTGGGCTTTCATTTCTCCACCTGTGACAGAGGGTTCTAATATTTACTTCAAAGTGCTGTTATAAGGGCCAAATAAAATGATGTACTTAAAGTGCCTGGCTTATGGTGGGCGTTCTCTAAATGGTAGCTACTACTACTAAGAAATAATTTTTACTAGAAAAATTATGACTTAATCAAATTCTGAATGGGACCAGTCATTTTTTCACTACAACACAGTCTGTTATCATTTGTCAGTCCCATCTAAGTTCTTCTCTTGCCTCTGATTCCCAGTAAATCTTTTTAAAAGAATGACCCCTACTCACAGAGCTCTTGTCCTTACCTCCTCTTCATTCTGCAGCCCAAGGATAGCTTGGGTTTCCAGCCCTGCCTGTTCTCTGAAACTGCCTCCTTTAAGGGGAGTCCTTATTGCCAAACCCAGGGGACCCTTGTGGGTCTCTACCCCCATGCAGCATCTGGCACTTCTGGCTACACAACTCTTTCAGGAAAGCTCTCTCCTCTGAGCCTCAGGGATACTTCATTCTTCTAGTTTTTGTGACTGGATGTCTCCTTTCACACCTCTTCCTAGGGTCAAGTGACCATGTTCTTTAAGGTTCTTTCCTGGAACCTCTTCTATCCTCATGGCCAGTCTAGTCTGTCGTCAACTGCCATCCTTAAGCTAATAATTCACTACATATGTCTCCAGCCTGTATTTCTCTTCAGAAACACAAATCTGTATATGCACCCAACCTCTTGACTTCGCTCTCTCCTTGAATGTCCCATGGGAATATTACACTCCACTGTTCACAGTGGAACCAATCATCTTCCCCTCCTACTTAACATAACTCCGATGCTCTGCTGCCTAATGACTGACACTACCATCCAGTCCCTCCAGCTGCCAAAGCCAGAAATCTGGGAGTCTACTTTCATTCTTTCTTCTCCTTTTGGCTCTATATCTAATTAACCACCAAGCTCTGTCAATTCTGTCTCCTTAATATCTCTAAAATTCATTATATTCTTTCTCTCCCTCCCACCACTGCTTTTGCTCAGGCCAACCACCAACTGGTCTTCTTTCTTCTGTCTTATCCCTGCAAGTATATTTCCACCCTGAAGTAATCTTTCTAAATATAATTTTCATAAGGTTGGTCTCCCATATAAAATACTTTGATTATTTTTCACTGCCCTCAGGAAAAAGTACAAATGCTTTGGCCCTCTTTAGAAGGCCTTTTATTGACTTGGTCCCCTTTTCCACCCTAACCTCACCTCTTTGCTCTCCTCTTCCACAACATGGTCCTCTTCGTCTTTCTCCCTCTGTCATTCTCTTTCCCCTCCAGGTCTCCCTCTTCCAACCCTACATACTGTTGACTGTTCCCTGAACTCACCAAACCCTTGGCTCTAGGTCTTTGCACATGCTTTTCTTTTTGATTAGAATTCTCTTTCCTACCTCTTCACCTTTTCTTCCAAGTCATTGAGAAATCCTCTTAGAAGTCACCTCCTTCAAAAAGTCTTCTGTAGGTTAGTTGAGAATAATGTGCCAATCTTGGCTCTTCATTGTGAAGAATATACCACAGTTGTAGAAGATATTAACACTATGGGAAGCCAGGGTGAGGGATTGATGGGAACTATCTGTACAGTCTTTGCAACTTTTCTGTACCTCTTAAACTATTCTAAAATAAAAAGATCATTTACAAAGTCTCCACTAACCCCCCTGTGCTGGCTTAACTGTTTATAAGAACTGTGCCTACTATCAAAGCATCAAAGCACTTAACACAGTGTCTGGCCATAGTCTATGTGTCTATCTCCTCCACTGAGGAAGGATAGGAATCATGTTTACTCATTTGTGTATTTCTGATGCTAGCCTGGCAAATGGTGTATGTTTAGTAAGTATCTCCTAAGTAAATGTTGCTAAATAGGTTGATTTGGTACAAAAGTACCAAAGCTTTTGTTGTAGGGTAATTTGAAATTATAGGCCTGGAAAAAAGAACTTGAAATATCAGACACCATAAATGACTTGTAGGCTCTTCTTGTTTTTCAACATGATGGACTTGGCAGAAATGCAAAGTACCTGAATGTCACATGCCTCCGTACACGCTGCATATTTCCAAGAGTCACATGACATTCTTTCCTTGCAGGTAAAGAGCCTTGGGCCAGGTGAGCTGTGTTAGTTCACTCCTGGTGCAGACTGCTGGCACACCCCAGGAGGGTGTGGACTGTGTATTGAATGCATGATAGCCAACTAGGGCAGAGAGCAAAAGAACTGGTTGGAAGAACAATGAAAGCACAGGAAGATGAATCTCCAGTTCAGCAATTCTAGTCCCAGCTCTTTTGCTGCGTGAATTTAGCTAAGTGTCTTCCTCTTTGTAGGCACCAGTCTGTATTTGTAAAATGAGGGCTTGGATTGGCTGGTCTCTAAAGTCCCTTCCAGGATTGATGCTCTGGGATTCTGTGATCGGTGTGAAGACTGGGCACCAGTGGAAGGAAACAGGTAAGTGTTTATTAGGAGCATGTGGCGACTAAACCATTGGTCCCAGGTCAGCAGCAGTCTTTAGCAAAAGGAAACTAAGCTAGGTCAGAGATTTGTCTAAGTCACCCTGGATGTACAGACCTCTGGGGCACAATAGCTCAATATTGTATGTTAAGGATCTAACTCAGGGCTGCCAGAAAGAAGCATTTCCAAGGATTGAAATAGGGGAAGGTGAGTGGTAGACCAGCGATAATTTTCACTTAATAATAAAATGACAACATTTGAGGAAAGTTTTTATGTTTATTGGCCAATAGTTTTGGTTATTTTGATAATTTTTTTTGTACTGAAATTACCCAAAATTTAAGTGTTAGTGGTGTTGCAATTTGTACGACCTGGAACTTGGCTGGGGCAGGTATGACAGCAATGCAGTTTGTTTTAATGGAATTGTTAAGTGGTTGAATTGAGATTATTTGGAGTTTGGTGCTATCGAGTAATGTAAGTTCAGAATTGCCTTAGTCAAGTGAAAAAAAACCCAGTTTATTTTGAAATTTACCTTAAAAAAGTGGAAGTGGCTTTGATAATTACATCAAAGATTCATTGGGAAGCACAAGGAAAAGTGTACATTTGCCTAATTGAATAAATACATCATAACCAACTATCACTAGTTAAGAAGATCTAGTTCTTGGAAGAGAACTAGGGTGAATAGAGAAGAAAATAGCATTTAATTTTTTAAAAATCATGAGAAAATTATTTTTGCTCACCAGTCACTGGTGTCAGAATTTCTGATAGGTGTGTGGAAACTCCCACCTCCGTCCCTGAAAAAACTGAAAATTCAAGGGTACAGGTTGTGCTGAGGGGCACCTGCTCCCAGCTCAGGGTGCTCCCAGCTATGACCTTTCAAATGTGGTCTCTCCTTTGTGTTGACCAAGAGTTTCCTCTTCTTGGAAAATGCTTACATAATAATTCATTTGGGTTCAGAGAAGGCAGATGATCACTTAACCTCTTAGAGGTTTTGGAATTTGAATCCTAGTGGACAAGGCACCAGCCAGATGTTATTGGGGAGATGTGTCATTCTTAATCCTCAGCATTGAGGTGGGCCAGGAGCAAAGAAAAATCCCTCCTGAGAGATGAGGAAACCAGCCAGACACAGGGAGGATTAAGGGTAATGGATCAAGCTTTAGAATCCCATGAAGAGGAACCAAAACACAAAAATTGTAGTAGTTAGATTTACTGAGTACTTATTCAGTGCCAAGCCAGGTGTAAAATCATAATTATCATGATCAAAATTATATTAATAATTCTCACACCAACTCTCTGAAGTAGGCTCTCTTATTTCCATTTTCTAAGTGGAAAATTCAGGTATAGAAAGATTAAATATTCACCCAAGGATCATCAGATGGTAAGTCGTAGAGCTGGGATACAAACAGGCAATTCAGTAGTCATTGCAGAACCATTGTTGTTAACCACCCATGCCCTGGTGCATATATAATCTTTCAACCTGTCCTCATCTATGACCCTCATTATGACTCCAGCATCCACCCTGGGGCTGAGAAGGTAATGGGCTTTGTTGAGTGTTCCTGAACTGAACAGAACAAAGCAGACTCAGCCTGTGCCCAAACCTGGTACCTGGGGTCTGGGGGAAGCCCTGATTGGCTCAGCACAATACTTGAGAGAAGCGGAGTGCTAGCCAGTCCCTGGGGGCTGGGAGCAGAAGTCCAGTCCAGCCAGCTGATGTGGGTCATGGGCAGGATCCCCCCTCACTGCACAGAAAGGCGAAGAAAACACTGGGCACTCAGGAGCCCAGAGCTGAAGGACGTGAGGAAGCAGCCTGGTCATTCCACAGCATCGACTAGGAACTCATGCTACATCAGTCTCTGTGCTGGATGCTCGCCACTGTGGATATAGAGTTGGATTGTGTATGTTCCATGCCCTGGAGGAACCCAATGCTAGTACTGAGAAGAGCTGTCTATCTGGTAGAGTCCCGGAAATTGCCTATGGACCTGTGTCTGCTATGTAGGGCAAGGCAACACTAGTTCTTAATCCTATTGTTTGTCTTGGTGGAATTTTATATATTCCATTTATTACCCACCAACTGAATTCAGGAGATGAGTTGTATAATTTTCAGACTCCTGGATGAACTTTCTGGATGAAGGATACAGGAGCTAAAGAGGTGGCAAGGCTGGGTAGACAGAACTTGCAAAAGATCTCTGCAATTAAAGTGGCTGGAAAGATGGTTAGAGAAGAGACAGGAGGAGAAGAGAAGAAATAAACGTGCCCTTACTTACATTCATCAGACAGTGAGGCTCGCCCACCCCAGCAGAGAGGAGGGCATTTGTTCTGTTAGCCACGCAGCCTTCTTTTGGGTCGGATCTCTTGAGCAACGAAGAAATCTTGGTAGGCTAAGGCTCTGGGTGATAAAAGGGATGTTGGGCTGCCTGGAAAAGCCCCAGTTCGTGCTTATTATACTGGTGGCATTATTTATATTGCCTTATTTCAGTCTGACAGGCATCATGGCTTGGATGATAAATCTTATGGTCATGCTGCCTATGGACAAAAAGCGCCTCTATTTTTCTGATGGGACTGCGTTCTGAATTTTAACCCCAAAGAGATGTTGTATAAAGACCTCTTGCTAGATAGCCTTTTCCTCTGTCACCACCATGCCTGAGTATGGACAAAACTCTTTCCTTGGCTGGAAAAATATAAAATGGAAATTTACTTTAAAAATGAATAGAAAACAAAATGTATTTCCTTTAAAATAGGAAAGCAGATACCGGGTACAAATGTATGAAGTTCCTGCCACAGATCAATTTGGCTGGCTCAGGCTAGAGTTGGTATTCTTGGATCTTTTAGCTTTCCTCCCCCTGGTTCTCTGGGGCACACAGCCAGAGAAAGGCTGGACTGAAGTGCGGGTGAGGAACCACAGATGCCCTGCTGGGCTGTGAGCCCCTGGAGGTAGTCCTTGAGGTGTCCTTCTCTCCTGGCTCCTGGGAGAAGAGTTGTTTTCTCATGTGGAGCCACCCTTGGAGGTGAAGCATGGTCACAGTGAACATGGCAATTATTAGAAACTTGAAAAAGGATTAGGAAGTAGGAATGAAATTGATGTTTCATGAAGTCTAATTAAGCATTGCCCAGCTCATTAGCAGCAGTCAGCTCAGTTTATGTGGCCTGGTTTACAGATAGCAGAAAATAAGTTTTCAGAAAAAAAACCCTTTTTGTGCATCCATTCTTCTCTCTGCCCTCAGTAGAACATCTACCCATATCTGTGTTGTCCGACTAGTGTGTTAAATCCGTCAGATAGGATCTGTGATTGTATGTGACTTTAGTCATCTATTTGTTTCAGATGCATTTTTGAACTGTTTGAACCGCTTCATTACCTCTTCATTGGGATACAGATGGAGATTAGATATTTTAATAGACAATTATTGAGCATTAGGCTTGTCATAGATGTTGAAGAGAATTATAGGGTCAAGGATTTAGAGTCAAAATTCAAAGAGATGTAAAAAAAATGAGAAATCTCAAATATTGTTTAGGTTTTGAGTAGAAGCTCATTGTTTCAAAGATTTGAGAATTGTGTAGTAAAACCACACCAGCTCTTGTTTCCACTTTCCCAACCAAACAAAGCTAAAGATCACTGAATCAATTAATAAGAGATACAAGGGTGTGCTTCGTCAAGGAAAGGTCCTCCGAGAAGCTTGCTGTTTCAGGAAGACATGGTCACTGCTTCCGGGAATCAATTTTAAAAGGAACCAAATGACCTTGTGGCCAGTGAGAACAGCTGTAGCTACTGAGGTCGAGCCAGCCCTTGTGCTTCCTTCTATTTAAACCTCCTGGGTCATAGGAACCACACAGATGGGTGGGAATGACTTCCCAGCAGGGGCTTTGCTGGTATCCAGTTTCTTTTGATAAACTGCCTCATTCTCTGTGTCAAACTGCTTCTGAAATTTGAAATAAATTCTGGGTCTATGGAGTAACACATGGATTATTTTAAAAATATGAAAGAATCTACCTATGAAAATGTTGAACGTATGCAAAAGTCTTCCAAATTGTGAACTCTGGGTGCTAGAGAGCAATCCTGAAGGTGCTGCCATTACTCAAGACGGTTTTTCTTTTACAAGTCATGCCTGGGAGCTGATGCCAGAAACAATTTACCAATCTCAAAAGCAACCACACTCTTAACTTTATAGTAATGATAAAAATACTGGATAGAAATACTGACTGAAAGTTCTTAGTTTTAATACAAATAATAGCTAAAATGTATCCAGGGCATATTGTGTGCGGGTCCCGCACTGACAGTTTTGCATGCCCTGTCTTGTTCAGTCCTCCCAATAATCATTGTTATTATGTAGGCATTATTAAATTACTATTACAACTTCACAGATAAATATTATTACAGCCCAACCTCTCTCCAGAATTCCTGACCAGACATCCAACTGTCTACTCAGTGTCTCCATTTGGATGTTTACTAAGCATCTCAAGTTTAAAATGTCCAAAACTTGGCCCTAATAATCCCCTACTTGTTCCCCTGCTGCCAACACATGTGCACCCATTCTGGAAAATGACAACTCTAGCCCTCAGGTTGCTCAGCTTTGACTCGTCTCTTTCACTCAAACCCCACATGCAACCTGGTCAGGAAATCCTGTCTCTGCACCTCAACTGATACCAGAATCTTGACCACTTCTCACTCCTCCTCTGCAGCAGGTCCGAACCCCTGGATCGCTCTCCTGGAGTGAATGCAGTAACCTCCCTCTGCCCTTGCCGCCTGCCTAGTCTATTCTCGTGACAGTAGCCACAGGGATCCTGGTAAAATGCAAGTTCAAAACCCTCCAGTGGCTTCCTGTCTGACTCAGAGCAGAAATCAAAGCCCTTCCAGTGGCTACTAAGCCTCATCAGGGGCTGGCTTCTTTTCTGATCTTTACCTTGAGTTCACAGACCCTGAATTTTATGCACTCTCTTGTTCGTGTGTGAGCCTGTGCATTCTTCTGAGGAGAGCCCATGTGGCTGTCACTGGATTCTTGAAGGACTCAAAAATCTCCCAAAAGCTTAAGAATCACTGCTTGGAGGAAGCCTCACACTTGAAAATTTAATGTAAAGAAGGGATTTATTCGAATTATAAAATGATTTGGAAAGGATTCTGTATATGATGTAAAGAATCACTGAAAATGTCTTGTGTGTTTGCAATACAATGAATACATGAAATTCAGATTCACACTTGTTTTAGTAGACTCTGTGATCCAAGTGTATCAGTTTTAAGTGGATTCAGATGAAATGCCACGACAATAAAATCTATTCGTAACAAAAAGATGTTTGAGCCTCCAGCTAACAGGTTATTTCAAATAATAAATAAAATCTGCATGCATAGCTTTGGGCCTGTTGTGTGTAAGGTGTTGTTTGGAAACATTTTTGGCACAGTTCAGTACATATAGCTTGATGCAGAGCTTGGCACACAGTCAGCCCTGTATGTCTATCTTCTGTGTGCTCCTTTTACCTCTCATGCTTGAGTCACCAGGACCCCAGCACTACAATTCTCTCTTCCACTTAACCCCAGCATGTGTGCAAAATATGCATAGGCCCTTGCCTTCTGCCTCCATCTCTTGCCCATTTATAGGTCTCAAAACCCTGACCTATATCCCAGGGGTCTTTTGTGAATTGACCAGTAAGCCGTACTTAATTGCAAAGTAAGCATTAATTATTGTTTTCACCATCAGTTCCAATCTGGGTTCCTGACACAGAGACACCTCGCTCATACAGTGGCTCACTGTGGGAGTTCAGACCACCCCACAAAAACAAACCTAAGAGGGATGTGTTCTCCTCTGAAGTATGTTAGGAGTACTCCAAAGTATTTTAAAGATTTTAAAGTACTTGAGTTCACACAGGAGTGGCGTCTTATTTGTGACTGCAGGGAACCTGGTCAGTGTCCCCAACATCAGAAGGGCTGCCATGGGCAGAGGATGCAGACTTGTCCTTCAGGAGTCCGGAGGGCAGAAGCAAGACTGGAGGGAAGCAAATGTTAGCCCAAGAATGGGAAGAACTTCAACGGCTGGAGCAGTTCAACTCAAACTAGCTGCCTGTGAAGAGCATAGTTCTTCCCAGTCATGGAAAAGTTCAAGCAAAGGGTAGGTGACTTTTTATTTTCAAATAATTTACTGATTGATTACCTACCAAATACATGACATTGTCCTAATTGCTGGAGGGACCCAAATGTGAACTAAGCAAGTACTGTGTTCTTAGTGAGCTTCTGGTGTTCGAGGGAAGATAAAATCCATCCAGCTGTCCATTTGATGACTATATATTGAGCATCTACTATGTGACAGGCATCATAGCACTAGAGATACAGCAGTGAACAAGACAAAGGTTTTTGTTTCTTACAGGTGATAGATGAGATTGATAATAAGAACCCCTAAAGCATGAAGTTAATCTTACCCTTTGAGAATTAAGTTGGCAAAAGTTAATGTGAATCAAATAAAATCAGTTGGCTAATGGGGATTTAATTATAACTAAGAAAGTTTAAATATAACAAATCAAATCATCCTTTGATGACTGTGACCACTGTTGTTATAAAGGAGGTGGTCATCCCGGAGCTGGAACACAGGGAGTCAGAGGAAAAATATTTGTGAATTTGTTCCTAGCATTATCTGAAGACAAGATAGTCTACCAGGGACTGAAGACATGAAGTGTCACAGGTCAGTGACATTGGCCATTGAGATCTTTGAACTCCTACTCTTTTCATCACCCACCTCCTCTTTTCCTACTTATCTTCTAACTCCTACTTACTGTGGATTTTAACTTAAATATAAGCCTCATCTCTACTCTCACAGTACTGTGTACGTCTCCTTCCTAGCACTTACCCCAGCTCTGCTTGAGTGTTTATTAGTGTCTCTCTCCCCAACTAGACTGGAAGCCACATGAGGGTGGAAGCCCTCCTAGTATTATTCACAGCCATATCCCATTGCCTGGCACATACAGGCACTTAGTAAATATTTGTTAAATGACTAAATAAATATACAAAAGACTTAATGCATCTTACTTCCCAGGAAGATTTCCCTATAAGGGAAGAATGCTCTGAGCAGAGAGATGACTCTTATTTCTGGAATTCTTGGAGACCTAACACTACTGCAGAATTCTAACAAAAGACAGAAAATGCGAGTGGATGGGAATGAAGCTATGGGACTTCAGAGATGGAATAGCACTATGTCAGTGGTTATGGAAGACAAGGCTCCTGACTTTAGTCTTGAATCAAAAATTAGATTTTTGACTCAAGCATATGGAGCTGAGTGATGGAGGGGAAAGGGTTATTCTAGCCAGAGATGTATGGTATGAGCAAAGATAGCAAGTTTGGAATTCAGGGTGAATTAGGAGGGTATTGGGACCTAAGGCAAGGAAGGCAGGCCAGGGGCCCAGTGAGACAGTGGGACAAAGAATTTGGACTTACTCATCTGTTGGCAGTCTTTGCCATAGAGGGGGATCCCTGCATTGCACGGGAGCTGGGTCCTTCTGTAGTATCCCAAAAAAGCAATGGTGTGGACATGACAAGGACTGGATGCGTCCAGAAGAAGCCTAGCTGGCTGCCTCCCTAAAGGCCCTCACAAAGGGTGTTACCTCAGTGATCTCACAGGGTCCAGGTTCTGGTCCTTTGTCAGTCCCAGAAAGCTGATTTGTTGAGGATAGATCTAAGCTTACAAGGCTACTGCATATAACCAGGATGCTAATTTAGTAATTTACAAGGAAAACTAGAATTGCTAAAGGTACTAAATGCTCCAATCCTACTAGAGCATTCTAGCCTTGTAAGCAGCCTGCGTAAGAAGTCATATTATAATCAGGTGTCTGTTTATTGACTCACAATAAGAAATACAATTGCCAAAGGATGCCCAAGTCCAATGGCTAGTATATTCATTTCCTGTAGGTGGATTTGCCTGGGAAGCCAAACTAAAATCAGATTGCTTGATGGGCTTGGAGTTAGTGCAAGGGGAAATCATTAAAAGGGTATTTAAAGACATCTTACCTTGACCTCTGTAATAAGAAGATAATTGTCACCATAATCACCTAGGTCACCTTCTTCACCAGATTCCCTCTGCCCTGGATGGTATTAGATGGACAATGCCTGAATTTTCCTGGCTTCTCAACATCCTTTCAGATTGATGCTTTCCTTCTTTAGCTCTATGAACACATCCAATCATTTCAAGTGCTGGTCTGAGAACCATTCTGTTTCTTTAAGGTGACTTAGCAAATTTCTGCTGTAATAAATTATGTGTTGATGTCCTGGTTTAATTCTCAGGGGACAATCTCATTTCTAATTCTTTCAGGATAGCTCAGTGTTGCTTCTAGTACTGACAACACTTTCTAGCCTTGAGATTCTAGGACATCCCTAGCCCCAGATGGCTTAGAAAATCTTACTTAACATTGTCAGAATTTCACAAGCTAGATAAAACCTCAGTGATAATAATCTTTTCAATTCCATTCATGTGCTTCGTTGCAATCAAAAGACATGTTATGTCTGTTATTTTACTCCATAATTGTAAGAACTCTTTAGGTAAAGAGGGTAGGGACTAGAGTTGCTCATGGTCACATAGTTACTAAGAGCAGAGACAGAGCTCAGACCCCAGGCCACTTTCTAGTCCATCTTGCTGCTTCACCATGAAAGAGAACAATTTTCTTTTAAATTCTACTATATTGAAGAGAACAATCAAATAACACTATTTTTTATGTTATCCACTTGAAGGTCATGCACAAGTAGTCAGGTATTGAGGCTTAGTATGAAAGCCATGATTAAGAGTTCTAATAACAAAACTAGGGCTTTATTAGCAGTAGATAGGCTCAATCCCATCCTTATCTCAAGGAGGCAGACAATGGGATTTGACAGACCCTTCGGGGCAGAGCCTATGGACAGGGGCAGTAGGAACAAAGACCAGATCACAGACTGGAAGGCCCTGCCAGAGTCCAGAGTTGGATGAGTCGGAGCCATTATCCCTGAAGGATATTGCCTCCACACTGCAGGAAAAATGGGTGAATGGCCCCTCTCAGCCTTTCTAGAATCAAAAACACTTCTTCCTCTAAGCACTGCTGGATATATGAGGATCCATTCTTCCTCTTTGCCTCCCTGCCCCTGGCTTCACACAGACCACCTCTCTCTGTGATAATGACTGTAATGAGTACCCACACTGTGCCAGGCTCTGGGCTAGGAACGTTATTTTGCTCTTAACAAGCTTGAAGATTGTATTGCCTCCATCATACAACTAAGAAACTGCAATCCTTAGAGGTTAAGTAACTTTCCCCAGGTTACTCACTAATATATAATGGAAATGGGGTTCTAAAGCCTTTCTTTTTGGATGCAAAATTTAAGCTTCTCCCCTTGTGCCAGGCTGATCCTCAGTACATTCATGTCACAGAAGGAAATATTACAAGTCAGGCCTCTTTTGTCCCTCCATTCCTGCTGGTCAGAGTGCTGAGAACAGGAGACAAGAGGAAGGCAGGAGAGTGTTACATTCAGTCAATGCTACAGCCAGACTTCCTGGGTTCAAATTCAGACTCTGCCACCTGCTAGTTGTGTGACCTGGGGCAAGTCTTGCTCTCTCTGTGTCTGTTTTCTCACTTGTAAAAGGGTTATAATAGTACACACTTTACAGGGGTTGTAAGGATTAAATATGTTATTAGAGTGTTTAGAAAGTGTCTGGTACATAGTACATGCTCAGTAAAATTAGCCTTTATCTTCTGATTAAATTGAGGTCTTAATTTCAATCCCATCTGACCTCTTAGTTGCATTTGGGAGACCCTGCAGTTTATTCCATAATTCTAAGCCATGTCTTGAGGTGGCTTATAACAGATTCCTTCTGATATAACTATCAGACCTCTTCTAGGATGTAGGGATGGTGGGTGGTCCCTACAGCTTGCCACTGCTGCATTCAGCTTCCCTCTTTACTAGAAGTGCCTGCCTAAGGTGCTGTCAGTCTGCTGGAGAGTTGCCCTATTGTGGGTCCCAGCAGCCCTCTGCTCAGCACTGCTCATGAGAGCCCATTCTTTGCATTCTTTGGAGCTCAGCAGGCTCCCTGAGTCTTCTCAACCAGGGACATTCCAGATGCCAGAGCTGGCAGGAGAGGGTGGGGCAGCGCCAGCTGACTCCAGAAAGGAAATCAGGTCTGTCCACACAGACAACTGCAGACCAATTAAAATGGCGTATGAGCTAATTAAGGACTGTGAATGAGGCAACACAGTTCTGAGGTGCCATGTAAATGTCAGATAGCGACAGCCTTGGACAGGAGCCTTCGATGACTCGGCGTTGGATGACTTGGGTGACAGGATTAAAACAAAAATGATAAAACACCTTCAAGACATAAATTCATACTTTCAAAGTGAATCTTTAATACAGTTCAATGTCAGAAATATTTATGAAACCCAATCAGAGCAAGGAAGAGTGCTGGACATTATGGGGGGCATAAACGGGTGGCACTCAGTCCCTGACTCGGGGATGTCAGTTCTTCATCCCCTCCACCACTTATCACTAGCACCCACAGTCCCTCCCACCTGGACTATCGCAGTCACCGCATCTGCCTAGCTCTTATCTTTCCTTAGCCGCAATCCATTCAAAACAACTTCAGTCACATAACTGCCCATTCCAGTGGCTTCCCACTGCCTACACATTAAGTTCACATATCTTGCTGATATTTAAGGCCCTCATGAACTGGTCCAAGCTAAACTTTCCAAGTTTTTATCTAATTACAGTCCTCTCCTCTACATTGTACCCAACCCGTCAGCCTTATTGGTCTACGGCAATTCCTTCAAACACGCTGTCTTCGTTCTTTCCCCATCTTCCTGCTTTCCATGAACCTGTTACCAAGCATAGTATACCCTGTCTTTTTGTATTTATATAATTTTTAAAATTTTTATTAAGGTATCAATGATACACACTCTTATAAAGGTTTCACAAAGAAAACAATGTGGTGACTACATTTACCCTTATTATTGAGTCCCCACCTCAAACCCCATTGCAGTCATTGTCCATCAGTGTAGTAAGATGCCACAGAGTCCCATTTGTCTTCTATGAGCTACACTGTCTTCCCCGTGACCCCACACACACCATGTGCACACCCTCCCTTTTTGTCTCTGACTTGAGCAATCTTGC